TGGGCAGAGCACAGATAGCCCATTGTGTAGCTTTGTGCTTAACTTCAAACATACAAAGTTTGTAGCTACCTGCAGATGTGCATATTTTGAAAAACGGTACGTAATAATATAAAATGAGATCGTTATATTTCAATAAGTCGAAATAAAGAATAACACCTAATCACCACAGTAACAAGAAATTTCAAGACGTAGTAGGCAGAAGATCAAATATTTATCGCTTGGCGTAAAGGCTAACAAAAAAACGCTTTATTGACAATAGTCAAATGAAGATAAAATCGGAAAAGGACTTTAATCTGTGTAGTGGAAAATGACTTAATAACAGAACAAATAAACTGATACTGACAAACATGAAACACTGAGTCTAAACAGTAAAGTAAAGGTAGAGTTAACTAAAAAACATAATTTTGTAGCAAATAAAGAACAAATATTCAGGTGGCGCTAACTGAGCTGAAGAAAATAAGTCCTGTTTTCACAATCCATAATCTCTCTCTGTATATGGCCCTCTACAGTACCTCAACGGTAGGATTGAGGGCTTATAATGGTAGAATTAGGGGCTCGATCTCCGTGGTAGACTAGCGTTTGGGCTAAAACAAAGAGATTCTATATAGCTGACTAATCATATATCATTCGAGGAGATCCGTGTTATTCACACCTTAGGCAACATTGATATATCATTCGAGGAGATCCGTGTTATTCACACCTTAGGCAACATTGATAAAAAAAATCTCAAAAACGGGATATTAGCCACACAACAACCATCTTATGAGATATCAGATCTCGCCCTTGATATATGTTATATCTACATGCCCAGACCACCGCTATCACGCCACTCGTATGATTAAGTTGACTCTCAAAAACGGAATTTTTGCAAATGAACTCGACGACATATACGATACAGAAATTACCGTTTAAATCGCTGCACTGGTTATTAAATATTTTACGGCGGAAGGTGAAATACCAAGTTTGAATAAAATTTGAGATAAATTCCTGAAAAAAATTGGCTTTGTGTGTCTGTCTCTGTTAACATGTTCTGTCATTTCTAATTGCGTTGTAGAAAGATACAAGATTTGGCTTCATGAAACTTTTATCTTGAGAACGTTAGTAACAGTCGTAAAAAAAGTTGATTTTATCTTTATGCATGACGTAGAACGTGCACGCGTAAGTTATTTTGTTTACGTTCTTTAAAAATTTTACAATATAATTAAAATCTTTTCAAGATGAGACTTTCACCTTTATCTATATTGTTTACTGTATTCTCAACAAAACTGTATTTTTGACGTTTTTAGTCTGTAAAACACAGAACTTGTGAGAAGGACATCAATGCCGACGAGCTCTTTCGGTCAATACCAGAGGTGTGCGTTTGAAATACTCAGTTGTTATGGCAACCAATTATATAGTGCCAGAAAGGAACGATTTTTAAAGAAATATGGGTTAAGATGTCCTCAGATGGGTCTTCATGAAGCTTTCCTTTAACAACAAATATATATATGATCTACAAATGTATTGTAGTTGTACTGAGTATGTGGATAACTCTAAACAATGTAAACTAACTGACGTCTAACGCACGTGCGGAGGTACTAGGGTCTTACTGACACTGATTAACATTAATTTGTCTGAAGACAGCTGTCACAGAGAGCAATCGAAAATTTCACACAGACGGAAGACGAGTATGCATAAGTAAGATTTTATGATGGGTAATATACATAAACGAGGGGGTTAACTCCAAGGTTCTATGATGCGGAATATACATATCCGAGGGAGGAGGTTAACTCCAAGGTTCTATGATGCGGAATATTCATAAACGAGGGGGTAACTCCAAGGTTCTATGACGCGTAATATACATAAACGAGGGGGGGTAACTCCAAGGTTCTATTATGCGGAATATACATATCCGAGGGGGAGGGTTAACTCCAAGGTTCTATGATGCGGAATATACATATCCGAGGGGGGAGGTTAACTCCTAGTTCATACTAGCTCTGTCAATACCTTTCCACTTACATATTCAAGGGTTTAAACCATGTAAACTTGTCTCTGTGATGTGTAACCCTAGTTTGAGTTTGCTCATATTTAAAGCCCTCTCACAAGAGTGTAGCTTCACATCAAACACTCCTGAATTTCAGTTTGTTTCAAGTAACTTCGCGCAAAGCTCCACAAAAGGTTATCCGTGTTTAGCCTAACTTTGACTTGATACACTAGAGGGCAACTAGTCACTGCTAAACTATGGGCTGCTCTTTTATGACCAAATAGTGTGATTTGATGTTCATTTTTTATAGCGCAACTACGCTCCAAAATAAGAAACTTATTTTACAGCCACGAACCAGAAAGCCTCGAATTCACAGTCAGAGCACATTAATTTCTCGGGCCCCGCCCCGCCCCACCCCACCCCACCCCACCCTGCCCACATACCTGAATGAAGACGTTTTTTTTTCTAATTATGTAGAGTTTGTTTGTTTGTTTGTTTTGAATTTCGCGCAAAGCTACACGAGGGCTATCTGCGCTAGCCGTCCCTAATT